TTAGTTCACAAGATATGACGTTGTATTTGTGTGTGATGTGAAGTTAGTCACAAAGGTTGCATATGTGGTAAATTTGACTGCTCAGATCCTTTCACTGGTCTCAGATCCAATTCTCCATCCATACCAACAAGCCATCCCTCCATTTAGCTATTCTCCCAGCTAGCAATCCGTCCATCAAGACAAACCCATTGATTAAGCCTTTTATTCATCAAGCAATCCATCCATCGACCCAGCCATCAGTCTAGTCATTAATTTATCGGCCCAACCATCAGGCCATTCATCTATCTGTTCATCCATTCATTAAGCTTTTTATTCTTAAAGCGATTTAGTCATCAATCTATCCAACTAGGCATCATTCTATCAAGCCAATCAGGCCTTAATGGGAAAATCCATTTAGTCATGCAATCAGGAAGACATCTGTCTACCCACCCATGAAGCGTTATATATGTCTAGTCATCCCTTCATCTATCCGTCGAACCAACCAGCCATCCAAATATCTTCTCAACCATCGATCCATGCATTCAGCCATCGATCCATCGATTAAGCAATCCATCCAACCATCCCTTCATCCAGCCAGACATCCATCCAACCAGCCATCCCTTTCTGCAATCTTCTTGCGAGCCATAGCCAGCCTTCTATCTAGCCATCCAGCCAACCAGTCATCGATGGAACCAGTCATCCATCCAAGCAGCCCTTCTTCATTTCAGCCACAACTCAAGCAATCCATTACTACAACCAGTCATCCTTTCGACCACTTATCTAGCCACCTATTCTCTCATCTATCCTGCCTCCATGCATCCATCTCGCCTTCGCCTGTCTAGTCCCTTTCAATAATGCCACTCATCCATCCATCAAGCGACCATACATCTTGCCATCGATTGATCAATCCAACCAGAGGTCAATCCATCCATCCAGCCTTCCATCCAACCAACCTGCTTTCCATGCAGTCAACCACCATCAATCATGCCATTTTTTCATCCATCCAAAGAGCAACCAGCTCAGCCAGCCATCAATCATCCGACAGTCCTTTAAAAAATTCAGATAGTCCTCTATCCAGCCATGCAGCATCGATTCATCGGTCTCACATGCATCCATCTAGCCATTTATGCATCCCATCAAGCATCCATGCAGCCTTCCATTGTCGATCTAGCCATCAATCCCATCAATCGACAACCCCGCCATCTATGCACCTGGCCATCCGTTTAGTCAGGAAACTCTGTCCTGCTATCTATTCAGCTAGCCCTTTATTCATCTAGCTATCTGTCCTGCCATCAATCCATCTAGCCGATGCTTGCTGATCGATCCATCTAGGGTCGATGCTTGCTGATACTTTTTGGATACTATAGTCCGTTTTAGGCTATACTTTTTTTTATCAATATTGCTCATGAATTTGGGCTTCAGTCTTTGTTTTGGGAACTGAAGGCCCTCTTGAACTTGTTCCCTAGTTACTACCGCTTGAGCTAAGTTGGTTGTTCGTTGTCTGAAAAGCCTTCATCCTGCTTTGCGGGTGTTATGGAGGCTAAAGGAATATGTGATAGTTAAGAGGTGGTAATCGTTCAAGAATTTTAAATCAACCGGCTAGGAAGGCTTTCGACTTTGCAGTTTTTGAGTCAAAATGAGTTCAGCAGTCAACAGGAAAATAGTTGTTTTTACCAGTTTCAAGTTTGTTTATATGACAGTGCAGGGCCACGAAGGTTGTGTAATGTTAGAGGTCGTCATTTGTAGCCTCCTGTTTAAAGCGTCAAGATTGAATTAAAAAATGTGAATTATTGTTTTTAAGAGTAATGAAGTAGTGAAGACTATTTTATAGGTCTTTCTGATTTTTTTTTCAGAAAAAAGTCTTAAAACAATGATGTACCTATGTGTAATGCACTTTTTGAGTTAAATTGAATTTCGTCTGCTGAAAGTGACGTATATAACACTCTCCAAATAAAAACGTGGAAATGGTGTGGAAAAACGTGAACAATTTCTAGTTTCAAAAGTGGAGTTTAATTTTTATTCCACCTATTAATCCAGTTTTCTCTAGTTGGGTTCAGTTTATCAACGAAGCGCCGATAGTATTTAGAACTTCAAAGAGCTTAAAGGGCATCTATTTTTTTTCTCTGAAGTTCGATAGTTGAGATTTTTTTCAACAAAGCCTGTGTTTTTTTTAATGTTTACCTGCGTTCATTACTCTTTTCCTATCTTCGATTGGCTATGTTAAAATTGTTTGCATCTATTTTTCCCCGAGAAAAACATTACATCTTCAATAGAAGCAATTTTAACTGACATGTTTATTTGTTAGAAACTATCTTCAAATATTGAAGACTTTCGCAATTTCACATTACTTCTACCAAAGTCTTTCTTCTTATTTTTTAAAGACCTTTGAACTGTTTTTTGATTTTGTTAAAAGTGTTTTTTCCCCCTATTTTCAATTCAAAAGAAATCTCTTTAAAACGTTTATTTGTTTTGTTCAAAAGAGCTTTCAATTGTTTTCTTGATGAACTTTTTGCTAGAAAAAAGCTGCATTGCTTTTTATTTTTCAACCCTTCAAAAAACTTTCGATTCGTCTGTTTCTCCTTGCCAAAAAAGTCAAAAAGGCCTTTCACAAAATTTGTGTTTTTTATAGAAGAACCCCACTAAGATTTCAAATTGAAATAAAGCGTTTCCGCATCAATTTGGTTATTTTCTTTGTTTCTTCAAGTTTTTTGGTGAGAGCAAAATCATATTCACTGATAAAGTTTATTTCATGTTTTTCTTGCATATAGTTTACTGACTTGCGATTATCATTTAGAATGCAGAAAATTCTGCACTATATCGCTTAGTTTTCAATAATTAATTATATCTTGTAAAATGTTTTTATTTTTAGTCATCACGTGTGTGCTACAACAACAGGATTAGAATTGCCCAAGCCATTCTCAGCGTCTGGTTGCAGAAGTTTGCAACAAGTGAAAGATATTTTTGCTGTTCACGCGAGATCCTATGTAGAAATGTGGACAGCGTTCAATGGTAAGACATTTAATTGTTTTGCTAGAAAAACGAATCTTTTTTGTTACAGCCCACTCCCGAATGCTAAAAGAAAAAGATGGTTTGAGAAAGTCGTCGTAAATTTCGTTCTTTAAAATTTATTTTTTCGGTTAGATCTTTGGATATTTTTAATTTCACTTCAACTGAGGGTAAATTACGCTCTCCGGTAACAAAAATGAAAATAGTACAGAAGCTGGAGTTTGTTTTTGAGTTTAAATTTTCTATTTCCTGCGAAATAAAATTATTATTTTTTGATCCTTTCTCTTATAGGGCTGTTTTTTTAAAATAAACGCCAATTCTAGATTTTTTAAGGGTATTTCGTTGGTTTTATTTTAAAAGAAGAATTGAAAATGAATTTTTTTTGCTTTTATTCAATTCATTAACGGGTTTTCAGCCACAAATAAATTAGTTAAGTGTAAAAGAACGAAGTGATTGTTCCTTATATGATTATTTGTCGTTATGATTATTTTATCAGGAAAAAGTTGTAAAGTTTGTTCACAATCATTTTTTTTTTCAGTTTCAGTTAAATGCCTTCGTTTAAAGAAAGCAAATTGCACTATCGAATTGCAAAATTGGGTGATATATTACAATAGGTGACAGCTTCAAATCAAATAAGGTCACGAGAAACGTGAATGATTTTTAGTTAAAAAAATGGCCATTGGAGTAAAAAAAGGAGCTTTTGATCCAGTTTTTTTTAAATGGGATAACGGAGGAAAAGTGCCTATTAAATTCAATTCTTGAAATTCAAATGACTTCATTGTTTTATTTCGAAATTCATAATTTTATATCAACTTTTTTACGGTTTTCTTGGGTTCTTTAGCATCTTTTGTAACCAACTGTTAGCGTTCATTTTCTCGACATAATCAGCCAAATTTTGCGTCCAAATGATATCCGTTTTTGTCGTGTTTCGTTTTGGTTCATGTCACTGATTTGAACTTTCTCCAGCCATCGAAACCTGATGTGAAGTTTTGAAAAAGGCTGGATTCAGTAAAATTTTCCCTTTTCATTAATACTTTATAGGTATTCAGGGGCTGATTTGTATCGACCCTCTCGCCAACCAAAAGGTCCCTCGTTGATATTATTTTACGACCTCTGTTGTCATTCGACCGATTCTAAAATTTTTTAATGGCGCTTTCGGTGCAAATTGATACTAATTTTGAGGCGGTCAAAGATTTCCGAAGTGCCCAAAAACTAGGAAACAATTTTAAAATTGTCAATTTATTTGATTTAGAGGATTAAGTTCAAATTGATAGTTGCTTTGGCCTCGTACTTGAGACTGAACTGATTTGAAACCCTTTAGATTTTTTACTTTCCTTTTAGACATGATAGCTGTTTTTCTATTTAGAAGTGGATTCGGAGCTTTTTGTTCTCGAACCGCAAACTCCTCAAGCCCATCACAACTTTCGAAAACTCCTGCTGCGGAACCGAGTCTGCATAACTGTTAACTACGATACCGAAGAGCCAATGAACCTGCCTTTAGTTACCCTTTCGGGATTTGAAAAACACACCTTAACCTTGAAAGAAATCCTGAACAAAAATTGGGAAAATTGGGACCGAAATTCTAGCATAACTCAAAATTTGACAAATATTTTGGAGATTGAAGAATCAATGTTTATAAAAAGGGCTGATGGAAAAAATGAAGTTAGTTTGAATCATTCAAGTTTTACGCAACTTTTTGACGACGATAATGATGAAAATAGAGCAGAAGAAAATAGCGATGACATAATTGGCAATTCGAAATGCCAAATTTGCCTTTCGCTTTATTTCAAAACAGACTGCCAAGAAAACGACAGCAGTTCTGATAATGAAGATTCAATTTACGAATTTACAATTCCAGAAGTTTTCTGTCAAAATGTGTCCTGCTTGAAGCAGTTTCATACTGCGTGTATTAGTAAATGGTTCAAAGCCTGCCCTGGTGTAACGAGAGTGTTTCAAACTATGATTGGTCCTTGCCCGGCTTGTAAAGCTAAGATCTCAGTTGACTTGTAGTTGATTTTTGCTGTCATTGAAGAGATTGTCGTTTGAATGTTATGAAAATATGGCTTTGTTTTTCTTTTCTTTTTAATGATTGTTCCTTATATTAGCACTACTACTGGCAGCACATAATTAATATCATAGTGTAAACGATGTGTTGGTTTCTTTGATGTTTGCCCAATGAAGCCTTGTTAAGAAAAAAAACAGGACGAGTTTTTGCGACATCAAGTTTTGAAGATTTCGAGAAGCTGAAAATAGCCAATCAGCTTTTGGTTTTGGGTCTATAAAGTAACCGCGATGTTAAGCTGGACTCATCGAGATGAAACCGAAATATGTTTCTTTTAGATTTGTTATTGCATTTTTCATTTTATCTACATGATATGCTGAAACAGCTTTTGAAGCGCGAAGTTCTACTACTAAAGCCTGTTAAAAAGAACATCTTGTCCAACGTCAAATGTTCACAGTTATCTAATGGCGAATTTCGGATTCTGTTCATTGGCTCTGATTCACTCGTGTCTTTGCCAGTTTTGAAATTTCTTCACGAAGAGTACCGTAAAATTACCAAAACGCACAGCAGTATATCTCTAAATGTGTTAACAAGAGTTCTGGAAAAGAATTTGAATCCAGTTGCAGAATATTGTCTGGATAATGGACTGGAGATTCGAAATTGGGACCACTTGGAGGAAAGTGATGGTTTTGCGTCTTTGAAGTGCGATGTTGGCGTTCTGTCGTCATTTGGAAAACTGGTTCCGGGCGAGCTGATTGATGCTTCAAAGGTAAGAATTGTCCTGCCTTCGAGTACGAAATATTTATTAAATAACTATGATGAGAAGTATAATAATAATATTTTTATTTACAAGCCAGAAAAGTATAACCAAAGATAATATAAATTTAGAACGTTTACAAATCAGATAGATTGCTAGAATAGCAAGAAGGCATCAGACTGTCGGGAGGCATGGCATCTACAAGTTCATTGGTTTATATGTTTTTGAAGAGTGCATTCCTCGACATCGGCAAATTTTCGTGCGTTTTTGTTCCGACCACTTCAAGAAGTTTTTTCACTCAATCTTAATTACCTCATGAAAGTCCGTGGGTTTATCTTAACAAAGCTCTTTCAAAAATGATTGTTTCCAAATTGTCTTTCCGAATTTTTTCGTTTTTCAGACTGCAAATGGAACCAAATACGAATTTTCAATCTAATTCCTCCGTTTTGTTTTCAAAATTTTAGCTATTTCTTCAAATTTTATGGCTCATTAACTAATTTTGAAAGTCATGCAAATTTCTGTAAAAAAAAAAAACGTTCGGCTGGCGTATATACTCTGCACATTTTTGGCTGGTTCATGTTTCGGCTTAATTATTCGTACTCAGTGAGGTTCGAAGACGGATCTATCGACTGAAAGGTAGAGACATTAGCAATTTTCCCATCGCTGAAAAGACTGGAACTTGAAAGCTCATTAAAATAGTGAAAGATATTAAGAAAACCATGATGATTATAGAGCAATAAAACTTTGTTATTTTGGTTGCAAATAACTCAGAAATTGAAGTAAAAAGATAAACAAGAAATACGGTTCGAAAAGACAGGAGTTTGAAAGGTGACAACTTGTTTGTTTGTCAGTTTAGTTTGGCATAGTGAACATCCACCCGAGTCTCCTTCCGAGATGGAGAGGCAGCAGTCCCCTTCCGAGGACTATTCTGGCAGACGACACACACACAGGCGTCTCACTCATGTTACTATCGGTCAGAGAACTTAATGCTCAATTATGCTTTGATCAAGAGTTCATGAAGGTAGTTCAGACTCGTATTTTTTTCTCGTGCTTTTTTTTCGGAAAAAGTATCAAAATGCTCTAAATTTTTACAGCTGTGCATTCATGCAAATTAATGCGTTTATGAATGCCATTGTGTGCTCTTTCTGAGTTCTATTCAAGTCCCTAAAACTCCAGTTTTACCAAATTGAGTTAGTTTTATCAAAAAAAAAGTTCTTGTGATTCAAAGAGCAAAGAACCATATATTTTTTCTTTGTAATTCGAAAAATGAAGTTTTTTTCAAAAGTTAGGTCTGATTATTATGTTTGTTTGCGTTCATTGACTCTTTTCAATTGTCTATTGACTATGTTTAATTGTTTAAGAGATAATAGTAAGACCACGTTCGTTTTTATATTTAGCAAACAATCTTAAAACGACAATTTCAGATTAAAAAAAAACATTAAAAGTATGATTTTTAATACTGCTTGAGGCCTGTGGTTAGATTACCGTAGAGGCATTTGTTTTTCAAAAACTGAGTAACGATTTAATTCTTTTTTGTTGCTTGTGCTGGCGAAGTGCAGTTTCGCCTCTGATGAAACAAGGCTCAATTTTGAACTAGTATTTTCTGTTATAGCCTCACAAATTCGACTCCGGGAAAATTATTTCCCAGACCACATTCGAAGTACCCCATGACGCTTTCACCGAAGATCTAGCCAAATTAGCGCTTCAAAACGGAATCGAGTTATTGACTAATTGCTTAGAAAATGTTGAAAATTCAGTTAAGAAAGCAGAGCAGCAAACAAAGAAAGGAGTGACTTACGCGTTCAAGCTTAAAACTTCGGATTCGGAAATTGATTGGCACAAATACACAGTCGCGGACGTTTGGAGATTATACCGAGCTTTGTCGTTTAAATTTCCAATGAGAACTGAATTCAACGGGAAAATTGTGAAACTAACTGAAATGATTGAACCAAAATATACTTCAAATAGTTTCATTCCTAATGACTTTTTAAGTGACCATATTAAACCTGGTACGGCTTGTTTTTCGCCTTTGATCGAAGCTATTTGTATAAAATGTGTTGATGGTTTTGTGGGGTTCAAAAAAGTTCATATTGCAGGAAGGAAAAGTTTAGATGCTCTTCAATTTGCAAATGGTTATTTTAATCTGAGAGATAGTTCTGTACGTTTTGGAGCTAAACGAGGAAAAAAGTGATTGTTTTTCAGAAGAATAATTCAAATATTTATCTGTCAGTTTTTCCGTAATTCAAAATGATCGGAAATGATAAAATTTTTCGCCCGACAATTCAGAGTGAATGTTTTCAGGTGTATTTCAGTTTATTTTCATTGAGCATTTTCTTTTTCACCCGAAATCAGGATACAAATAAGCGTTAGATGGATTCGAGTGGTATATCATATTAAAGCCCTTTCAAGCGTGATTTGATTGTTTTGTAAACAGTTCCAAAACTTTAGTAGAGACGAGAAAAACCGCTTAGAAAATGTAGTAAAGACTCTTATGCGTTACAACTATAAAAATGCATTACAATTTATCGATTAGAGAAAAGAAGGAATTTTTTCCAAAAAAAATAAAATTGAAAAAAATATATATCTACAAAACTTTCATATCTTTTTTGGATGGCATTCATGAAAAGCTTAAACAAACATTAAAAATCAATGAACGAGGTGCAACTAAGATGAGAAATTAGGTCAACCCGCGTTAAACCAATAACAATACCCTAGTTATAGAAAAAGCTAAAAAAATATATTTAACACAAACAAACAAGAGAGAAACGCGTTTTAGCAAACAAGCGAGAAATGGGCAAAAAGTAGCTCTAAAAAGCTCAAATTCAAATACGTGATACTAATAAAAATTTTGCTAAAAGCCGGAATCGAACCCCCAAATTACAGATTGAAAGTCACAGGTCCCGGCATCTGAGCCTTGGTCGCTTGACAATAGTTAAACTCTAAAGCTTTGAGATATTTGTTGGATAAACTTTTGAAAACAAGTGTGATGCAAAAAGTATGCCTTAATTTTCAAAAAGTGTCAAAAACTAAAATTTGATGCTAACATTAGTAGCTGAACTCCAATGAAAAAAAGATGTTGAACAAGCTTTTGTAGGGGAGATTACAACCCCGTTTGCTTAATTTCTGTAAGATAACAACTCCGTTTGCTTAACTCTTTGCCAAAATTGATCATTTAGAAAACGCAGGTGGTTTTCTTACAGTTTGTTCATTCTATTGAACATTTTATACGAGATGTGGCTTACATTTCCTGCATCCTACGATACAATTAAACACTGAGAAAATAAAGTTTTTTTTCAAAAATTGGTCGACATTTTAAAATATCACCATTTAATTTCTATTTTCAACATAAACTTTCGGCAGAAATTAAAGCAAAGCCGCTTAGTGAACAATTTTTACTCGATTTTTTACTCAATTTTTAGAGTCAACTTTTTACTCGATTGAACACATTATACAGTAAAAATGACATTTCATGGCTATCAAGCGAAAATAAATGTATTGTTATACGAAATTGAGATTATACCTCTTTAAACTTAGGCTCCTTGGGCTACATAAAAAGATCATTATGATTTTAACTCCAGCAGTTGAGCTCAAAGTTTCGGTGCCCTTTTCAATTAAATAAAAAAGACGAAAAACTGCAGTTTGTACTGGAGTTTTTACTGCTTGAGCGTGGAAAGTTCACGAACTTCAAAATACAAATGTTTTCTTTTGTGTTCTTGGTTGTGTCAATTGAAGGTAATACTAATCTTTCTAATTTTATTTTTCTCCCTGTCGGGTCTGTACACTACTTCAAATGAACTCATGAGAAATTAAACATCCTACTTACAAAAAAGTTCCAACAGCAAGTAATAGTCGCTTATTTTTGCTAAACAATTCTTACGAAATATAGCCTGCGTCAATCTATCTATATTATCTCTGTTTGAAACATTAAGATTCGTGTTTTTTTGTTATTTTTGTAATTGTGGGTTCATAAAAATTTGGTTGGGCCAAAGAAAGCATGAAAGTAAATGGAAATCAAGTGTTTTGCTGTTTCTTTTTTGATCGATGCAAACTTTATTGTACGTTTATTCGCTAAAAATGAATCTTCTTTTATGCTTGTAAAACTTGAAATGATGCATGACCTATTAGTGGGCATGGTTCAAAATCCCACTTCAGAATTAAAACAGAAATTAAAATGTGCTTTTGAAGCAACATAATAACCATATCTTACTCTGAGCCAATTGTATCTTTAAAACATAAAAATCTACGTTCCTTCCTACAGCAAGCGTACTCATTCGAAAATATAAAGTTAAAAGCTAATGATTGTCAAGAGATGGGATATGTGATTCCTTAAAAAGATGAGGTTGGAGTATCGTGTTCAGTAATTGAAAAGTTTTCAGGAAGAGTTTAAAATTGTGATAGCAGAGAATTCAGTGATGAATACGTGTGTGGTAGGTTTTTGATGTTTGAATTTATTTTAAATTTATATAATTATTATATAATTTAATTAATTTTTTGATATTAAAATTTTTACTTGATTTCGGAAAAAAAATCTTTAATTTTTCAAAATTTATCTATTTAAAAAAAAATTTTTTTGTGCACAATCAGTCAAGAAAGCGCTTAAAGGAGCTCTTAAAACTAAATAACCAATTTTAATGTATCCAACATTACTAGGTTACCTTACTCGCACGAAATTGAACTACAGCTCAAAAGTTTCGAGCTGGTTTTCTCGACATAAACTGTTTTTTAAAAAGTTTTAATTCTTTTTGAATCGCTGCTGCAAGGGTTTTAAAATGATATACTACTCGTTTTGTTCAATTGATTTTTGTGGTTCCTGATTTTGCGTAGGAAAGCAGAAAAATTTTTAACACCTGCATAAGAATTTGCACCTCATTTTCAACTGTCGGAATAATGATCCATTGTTTGAGAAGACTAAATTTATGCGTAGAACCTTGACTATATGGTTAAGTATTTGGCTATATAGTTTTTCAGCGGTTGAACCTGAATTGATGACGGAATTTTGTCAGCTTATCTGTGCCTTAAACGGCCGCACAAATGTTCCGACTAAATCAGTAACGATGGTGGTTAGAAATTTTTAAGGCAGCTTAATTTTTGCGTTGCAGCTTAAGCAAAGATATGATAGGTTCTAAGTAGAGCGACCTGCATACGCAATTCGAGGTTTTGTTTTGTTGGCTGAGCTTGCGTGGAAAAAACAGCTCAACTATAAAATGATAAAAATGAGGGAAACTGATTGCAATCCATTAAACTCAAAAAGCATGTATCAAATGCAAATAAATATTATTACGAATTAGTTAATGTTCTTGTTTCACTTACTCGATGAAACAGAAAACTTTATTACGGCGTATAGTGTCTTGGGAGTTTTCTCAGATGAAATTCAGATGAGAAGGATCCTCAAATGTGAAAGGATATCTTACAGATTTTTTTTGATCATCACATTTTTAGGAGAATCCAATAAAGACACTTATGATATAGATTTGAGAACTTGATAAAACGTTGAGCTTGAGTTATGGGTAGTAAAAATGATAAAAAAACCACTAACATATAAGTATATAAAAACAACCCTGGTGGTATAAATTATTGCTTTAATCAAAAATATGGAAACGAGGAATCAAGAAAATTGGTTTCGTGCTGTTCAAAAATACTCTTAGAATAGAAGGTTCACGATTGTCACAATTGATTATTATCAACTTTTCTCATCCAAAAGCGACTTATAAGGGGTTAAACGGCAAAAGATTTTTAGAACTTTCAAAACTTTGAGTCATCATGCTAAAACTTTGAATCCAAAAACATCCTAGAAAACACTCTGCTAGGATAATATTTTGACTTGAAAATTGCATTTTTGAAAGCAAAAGATTCGTCAAAAAAAAACTTCAAGTTTAAAAAAATGTTGGCTGAACAGTTTGAATTAATTTAAATACAATTTTTAGCTACTTATTTTTCTTTCGAACAAAACATCTTATTCATGAGTAAAATATTTACAAATTTGTCTTTTTTTGTTTTTTTTCCTTAAAACTGTTGTTTTTATTGTCTTTTGGCCAAATTAGCCAAATATTTTTCAAATTTTTGGTTCTTGTCCTGAATGTTTCAATTTTTTTCTCAACTGATTTGCAGACAAGAAGTGTCCTATAGCTATTTGAATAATTGATGCTGTTGAATATATGCATAAATTAAAAGCGTGTCGACTTCAATCCCAGGTTGAGCTGCTCGACTTAATTTTCGACTTTGAAAGTCTAGCAAGTGCTATTTTACGACTGAACTTCCGCGGTGAAGTAGCAATTTTAGGTCAAGCGCAAAGTCGAAACATACCCAGTTTTGGTCGAGAAAGTAGAAACATATATATGCGGGGTCGAACAAATTAATTTTTAAAAAATGTCGGTACCGAAGTTTTGTCGAAAGGGCTGAAACATACCGTTTTTTGGTCGAGAAATTTGAAACATAAATCGAGCAACTCGGCCCGGGATGTATGAACAGGAGATATTTTTATAAAAACCTTTGGGTAATTTGCGAATCCAAGACTTACATATAGAAGCCTTCATAATTAGCTGGCTCCTCAATTTTGAAAAGGCGATCAAGTTTTAAAAACGTGACGCCTTAGCACAAATGATGAGACGCCCTCAAAAACATCCAACAAAATTATAGAAGGGGTTCAATATGTTTCCCCAAATTGATATTTTTTTTGCTCCGATTTTCGAAGAAAGTGAAGAATATGTATCCTCGAGGTAATTCAATTTTATTCAGGAAAATTTAAGAAAATTTCACTGCGTATGAGCGTCACTCTGAAAATCTTCCGGTTGCCAAGCGAGTATGCTTGCAGTACACTAAAGTGCGGTTTGGCTGCTGGAATAATGCTTCAGTAATAATCGTACCAAATTGCATAGAGGCAAACTAATTGGTGTGATTAATTCCATAAACGACTTAAATATTAACACTTTGGAACACTAAAGTTCTTAGTTTGTCAACATTTCATTTACCAAAAACTAAACGAGACTAATTATGGGCAGTCGGAACATTCAGGGCTTTGCCCTGATATGAGCAATCTTGCAATATTATGTGCAAGCCATAATAGTACTCTCTCAGCTCATTAGCGACTTTTCCGCCTTTTTAGTTTTCGAGATTATTTTGTCGACTGGTAATCCATCTTTTGTGAACGGCTTCATTACTTAAATGCAATCGCAAAAATATTTGGGTTGAAGCAATTTTCCGTTTCTATGCTTTTAAGATGCAAA